AAGATTTAGTGTTCAGCTTTAATATTTAAATCTTTTATCCATTTTAATTGTAGTTTCATGCATGGTGATAGGCATGGGTCTATTTTAAGACTTTGGCATGCAGAAAACCAGTTTTTCCAGCACCATTTATCAAAGAGGCTAAGTTTCTTCCAGTGAACATGTTTGGCCCCTTTGTCAAAGATAAGGTCGCTGAGTGTGTTTGTAGTTGCGTCTTCATTTTCTAATCTGTTCCATTAATCTTCAGGTCTGTTTTTATGCCAGTACTATGCTGATTTTATCACAATAGCTTTATAGTATAATTTTTAGTATAATTTCAAGTCAGGGATTATCATACCTCCTGTCTTTCCTTTGTTAACTAGGGTTGTTTTTGCTATTCTAGATCCCTTTTAGTTCCAGATGAATTTTGGGAATTTTTTTTTCTACATCTGTGAGGTATACTAATGGTATTTTAATTAGGATTGCATTGAATCTGTATAACAAGTTTGGGAGTATGGTCATTTTCACAATATTGGTTCTTCCTTTCCAGGAGCATGGAATATCTTTCCATTTTCTCAAATCCTCTTTGATCTCCTTTTTCAGAGTACTATAATTTTCACTGTATAAATCTTTTACTTCCTTTGCGAGATTGATTCCTAAGTATTTCATTGTTTTGGGTGTTATTATGAAAGGCTTGGTTGCCATAATTTCTGTCTTGCTTTGCTCATTGTTTTTCTATAGAAATGCTATTGATTTCTGAGTGTTGACTTTGTGCCCTACTATGCAATTGAATTTGGTTTTGAAGTGTACAAGTGGAGTTTTTAGGGTCTTCTATGTACAGTATTATGTCATCTACAAATGATGGTTTCACTTCTTCCTTTCCAATCATTGTTTCTGTTATCTGCTTCTCTTGTCTAAGTGCTTTGGCTGATTCCAGAACTCTATTGAACAGGATTGGTGACAGTGGGCATCCTTGTCTTGTTGCAGATTTTGAAGCAAAAGCTTTCCATTTTTGTCCATTTAGTGTGATGGATCAACAGACTCTTTTAAAATGTCACTTCTAAATTATTTCTTATTAGTAGAGCAGCACCTTTGATCATAAAACATGTGAGACACAATGGGATAAACATTCAGGAATCTGTTATCTTTTTTATATTAGTTGACTTGCAAGTATGAATTTTTTTTTATTTTTCTTTTTTTTTGACATCAGTTATTTTTATTTTAAAGAAAGGAAAAAAATAAAAACAGTGGGACAAAATCTCAAAACAAGATTTTAGGAGAGTAACAATAGTTAGTACATTATATATCATAACTGCCAAAGTAGTTTCTCATATTACAAGATATAGGCAAGAAATAATAAGC